ATTCGTCAGACCATACGATTACACGCTTATCGTTTTACGCAAGTCGACTAGTAATGCATTTAGTGGTGCTTGAGATTCTGCCGCGCGAGGGATGTTGCGACGGTAAAAATTTATCATGCCGAGAAAACGACGTAGGTCGGCGATGGTTTTGGGTCTAGGAAATTTGGTAATTGCCTCAACTTTTTCTGGGATGGGGCTGATTCCTTTACCATTTATTATATACCCGAGAAACTTTAGTTCATGTGCGCCGAACACGCATTTTTCAACATTAAGGCGAAGGTGAAACTCTTTAAGCCTTTGAAATACTATGCGTAAATGTTTATCGTGCTCCTCTGGAGAAGAGGAAGCAATTAGGATATCATCCATATAAATGAAAACAAAATCTAGATCGCCTAAGGCGCGATTTATATAACGTTGAAAAGATTGACCGGCATTACGGAGACCAAAGGTCATAAATAAGTATTCGAATAACCCGAAAGGGGTTATGATAGCTGTTTTCTCAATGTCCTCGGGGGCCATTGAAATTTGATTATAGGCTTTATATAAGTCGAGGGATGAAAAAATTGTTTTACCGTGTAGATTAACGGAGCAGTCATGCAGGTGGGGGGTGGGGTATCTATCAGGTCGCGTGATTGCATTTACACCGCGGTAATCGCCGCACACCCGCCAGGTGCCGTCTTTTTTGCGGACTAAATGAATAGGACTGGCCCATGGACTGCTAGAGGGGCGGCAAATGCCTGCTTCGACTAAAGCTCTGATCTCGGCCTTTGCGGCCTTAAGTTTACCAGGAGGAAGGCGCCTAGCGCGCGCAGCGACTGAAGGGCCGGTGGTGATAATATGATGAAACACGTCACAATTGGACGGCGGGGCGAGGGGAAGGGCTCCTGTTATTTGCGGAAACTCCTTAAGTATTTTGGAAAACTCAGAGGAAGGTTTAATCGTATTAATCGAATGTATCGGGGCCGGTTTCTTAGTCGCGAGGGTATATAATTTAGTAGTGGAATCTATAAGACGTCGTCGTTTTAAATCTACTATTAACCCGTAGTGCGATAGTAAGTCGGCGCCAATGATGGGGTACGGAACTGCGGCAATGCAAAATTCCATCGAATTGGCCATCTTAAACCGAGGTCAAGCTCACGAAGAGATTCCCCGAACGTGTCGATGTGCGTATCATTTGCTGTGAAGAGCTTTAATTCGGAGGGCTTTCCCTTGATCCTATCGATAGCGGGTACAAGAGAGATATCCGCGCCCGTATCGACAAGGAACATTTGGCCACTGGTACGATCACGGACGTGGAGACGGTTAGTTTGTATCCTTCTTGTCAACAACATTTGTAGCAAGATTTTACAAAATCTATTTTCGACAGACTTTGCTATCTAGGTACATTTGTTAAGTTCCATATAGTTTCTTAACATAGCAGACACTCTTACAGAAATTTAATACTATAAGTAATTAATCATTAACCAAATAAAATCACTTAGGGTCGGTTGTTCCAATCTATTGATAAGCTAACTAATAGTTAAATCATATGTCTATCTTTGTCTAATGTAAAAGATAAACAAAGACATAACCAGCAGATTTTTTCACAAAAGTACAAAAATTTTCCAACATTGTACTGACAGTATTAAAATGCAACAATAATAATGTTACATACAAAATGTTTTTGTTCTGAGAGTTAAATATCGGAAGAAAAAATAAAAAAAACTTAATGTAAACAGAAGTTTATAACGATTTCATATTTAAGATACCTATATACATACACCGTTGAAAAATTTGTGTTAAATATAACACAAATCACATATCCCAAATGGTTCACTCAAATTTTTGTGTTAATTTAACATAATATATGGATATATTAAATGATAACACCGATACTATGTTAAAATATTTCAACAGAAAGGAAATGTAATTCTGATCGTAATTTGAGGTTAATTATGTGTACAATTAACATAACTTTTATGTCGAAGTAAATCAAAACTCTTTTTTTGTAAATTTTTATTCCCACTTCTGTTATAGAGTAAAATCAACACTCTTTTTCTGTAAATTTTAACACATTTAATAAATACGTACAAATTGTGTTACTTTAACATATATTTTTTAAATTATTTTAATAATTTTACATTTTAAATTTGTTAAATTCAATTAACACATAGCAAGCATATATTAATACTACACATGTATGTGTTGATTATTTTACACAAAAATTTTAAGAAGGACCTTTTTTAACAAAACTACAAAAATTTTCCAACAGTGTATATTGTAAAGTTATATATAAATATAACTTAACACACATAACTTAACACTATTTTAAACATAAAACCATTTTAAACTTCTATTTCTATGTGAATAATTATTGCTTCCTCATAGAGGAAGCTTTGTTTTCGTGATTTTCGTATATGAACCTTTGATTGTGTATAAAGTTGGATCTAGTCAACCAAATTTAAAAAAAATATATATGAAATAGGTGTAGAAGAGACCAACGAAGAGATTGGTTTTTGAGTTTTTTCTGCCAATATGTTCAGATTGTTGTAAAACGTTGAAATATCGCCTAAAAAAAAATGTCCGTATGTGTGTGTGTGTGTATGTGCACATTTGATGTTGTGGTTGCTCTAACTTCCGCAAATATTGAGATATCGGGCTGTTTTTTTTTTTAATCGATAGAGTATCATTCAAGGAAGGTTGGTATTGAATTTGACGATGATCGGTAAAGGGGTTCTTTTTTAAAAAAAATTTTAAATTTTTTTAGAAATGTCCGTAGTTGCTCTAACTTTCGCAAATATTGAGATATCGGGCTGTTTTTTTTTTTAATCGATAGAGTATCATTTAAGGAAGGTTGGTATTGAATTTGACGATGATCGGTAAAGGGATTCTTTTTTAAAAAAATTTTAGATTTTTTTAGAAATGTCCGTGGTTGCTCTAACTTCCGCAAATATTGAGATATCGGGCTGTTTTTTTTTTTTTTAATCAATAGAGTATCGTTCAAGGAAGGTTGGTATTGAATTTGGCGATGATCAGTAAAGGGGTTCTTTTTTAAAAAAATTTTAAATTTTTAGAAATGTCCGTGGTTGTTCTAACTTCCGTAAATATTGAGAAAATAAATATAATCATATATAATCATATATATCAATCTTTAATGATACTCTATCTATAAAAAAAGTGTGCAAGTAGAAACTTGCACATTGCTTCCTCATAGTTTTTAAGTGTGCAAGTAGAAACTTGCACATTGCTTCCTCATAGTTTTTAAGTGTGCAAGTATAAACCTGCACATTGTTTTCTTATGGTTTTGAAATGTACAAGTAGAAACCTTCGCTCACAAAGCTTCCTCTATGAGGAAGCCAAAACAAATAAATACTAATAATTATACATCGAATAAAATACAAATTTCCTCATAGAGGAGCTTTGTGAGCGAAGGTTTCTACTTGCACATTTCAAAACCATAAGAAAACAATGTGCAGGTTTATACTTGCACACTTAAAAACTATGAGGAAGCAATGTGCAAGTTTCTACTTGTTTTTATTTACGTTTAGAACAATTACCTATTGATCCACCGTCTTGTCAATGTTTGATAATATGCTAGAAGGTCAGCATTCATAATCTGATTTTACACTTAAAAGAACATCTTAAGTATAAGATTTAGTTAATGAAATGTAAATAGCTTAAGCTTAAGACGATTTTGAATACATAAGAACGAACTACAAATTATAATGAGCGTTGAACTTTTCAACGGTTCAAGGCACTTGATTTGAAAGAGCAGATTTTCGAGCGAATTGCACGCACATCTTCATGTTTCATCGCGTAATCTTTAAAGATAAATACAGTGGAATGTACAAATGCATGTAACATGAATATAATTGGCATTTGAACTTTGGATATTCGACATTAAATCTCCACATGAAAAACACTTGAACAAATCGAAGCATATTCCTAATCAACGAAAAATTAATTTTTTTTCCAGCAAAATTTTTTTTTTTTCATATTTTCTTCTTTTGTATCTTCTTAAAATTCTCGACGTTATAATGTAACAATCGGCAACAATTAAATTCTATTGAAGCATAAAGTCCATACAATTATCTAAATATATAATAAGATCTTTTTGAATAATTGATCGAAATTTTTGGCTCAACGTGTTACTTCTCACGGAATAACTAAAGATAACATAATTTGTTCTGCGAGTATAGTTATTTGTGTAACAAGTGTCGTAAGATGAAAATTCCCGGGTGCGGAGTTTACGCACGAGCCGAAGGCGAGTTTACACGCGGAGTTTACACACGACTTACACTCCCTATTTAATGTGGCAAGTGCCTGGAAAGTGGTCTATCACGCACGCGTAGCGTGCGTAATGGGGCACTTTCCATGCACGTGTTGCATAATAATCATTTTCCAGTTCTCACGCACTGTTACTCGTTACGCGTCATTAAGCCCAGAACATAATTTTATTTTATAATTTAATCACACGGAATGTGAAGTTAGTTATAAATAGATATCATGGTAATCGTTGGCTTGAGTTAAATTTTAAGACAGAATTATATATACCATGTATTTATGTTATCTCCTAAATATTTAAATGTGTCACATATTTTATATATTAATGCAATGAGTATCTTGAATATTCAAACATTTCTTTTTGTATTACACAACGCATAAAATTATAAATAGAATTCTATTTTAAATGTAATCTAAATTATAGATCGTTTAATTTAAAGTGATTTAAATAATCGGCAATTTATGACAGAATTTGTGACATAATTCCTATCTATAACTTTATATGTCACATTTTGATATATTTATATATTTTAATATAATATATAACATTTTAAATATTTCAATATATACTTAGATGTACCTTTGTTCTTCAACGTCTTCCACGACGCATTAAATTATAAATAGTATTCCACCCTACTGTTAGATTCTGACAAAAATTATGGATCATCTAAATTGTCCGAATTTTAAAATAGGATGCGGTCGCAGTTACGTACGGCTCATCGGTCAACTTTTTTCAGGATTTTGGAGGTAAACGGAAAACTGGTGGTAGGAGCGAGCAGGAATGACCTGGCACGTCTTCTGGCCGTCGCGCCCGACGCCGCGCAAATAGTGGTCCTTCGAAAAGGAGAGTCCCTCGCGGCATTGCGCACCTTGCGCTCCGATAATCTCAGGCTGACACACAGGATTAGTTATCTTGAGGAGCAGGTCAGAGATCTCTTGGCGCCGAGCAGGACCGAGGTCCCCACCGAGGATCCGCCGCCCAGTCGTCAGGAACATGTACAGGTAAACACTGGTGCTGGATTATGGATCGAGATGGATCAACGTGCCTTGTTTGTTTGGGAGAAGCATCCGCGTCGACGAGCGGAAATTCGTCGAACATTCAATCCCATATTTCAATTGATCTCAAAATTCTAATTTTATTATAAAAATTTATTATAAATCGTTATTTTAAAAATTAAGGGTCCATATACCTCAGTAGGTCTAAAAAATAGGTGATTTTTGTGAATTTTTTGTGGAGAAAGTGAACGAAATAAATTATTCAATATTTTTGGATTATATTTATGATACTTTTAAATAGTTATACAAATTTTTTCAGCCCATTTAAATAATTTGGCGAAGCGGGATACTGGGCAACCAACGCGCGGAATAGGTTGCTCCATGGCGGAAATCCTCCAGGTCGTAAAATGTGTCTGAAACATCGAATCAATCGATTTTCCTGTTCAGTACAAGTGTCCCTATAGAGTAGACCAAAAAAAATTATTTTGAATAAAAATTCATAAAATAGCGGCAGTTAAAAAAAAAAAATAATTTTCACTATAAATTTTCGATACTTTTTTGCTTATAAAAAATTAAATATTGCATATATCGATATGATTGTAGTCTACTCTATAGGGACACTTGTACTGAACAGGAAAATCGATTGATTCGATGTTTCAGAAACATTTTACGACCTAGAGGACTTCCGCCATGGAGCAACATATTCCGCGCACAGGTCGCCGTTGCCAAGTATCCCGCTTCGCCAAATGCCATGGGCTAAAAAAATTTTTATAACTACTTAAAAATATCATAAATATAATCCAAAAATATTGAACGATTTATTTTGTTTACTTTCTCTACAAAAAATTCACAAAAATTACCTTTTTTTTGGACCTACTGAGGGATATGGACCTTTAATATCTCAGAAGACAACTTCATAAAAACCGTATATATATGCGAATACACATAAATAATATCAAGTCATGTATCTACTGTAATGAACGAACAGCAGTATAAGGAAAACTGATATATCAAGAAAAATTCTTTTTATCTTCTATTGTACCTATACATAAAATGTATACAACAAATATATACTTATAGTCCAGTAATTTTAGGATTTCACTTCGGAAAAATTCCAAGTGAGCTGAGTTGTTGCATGCACTTTTATTTAGTCTTTATAAATAACATATCAAAAGTCCCCATCATTTGATTGTACGCATAATATTTTACAGCGCGTAAAAAGGTGTTAAAAATTGGTTTTTTGTTAATATCTAGGTTTCTATTGATTTTACGACTATAACGTCTATTTTGAAAAATAAAGACGAGAAAATTCTCTACAAAAAAGGTCTTAGGTAATTTTTTCGTACACGTAATCGTTTTTGCTTAATCTGGCGTTGAATATGCAAGTTAAGACAGTTATATGCATATTAAAGTACTTTATTTCACACACTTGTAATTCTTTTGTACAAAATGACATAAAATTATGCTTTTCCTTCTTCTTCTTCTTTTTCTTCTACTTTTTCTTCGTTTTCATCTTTGTTTGGATAAATACATTGTTGAAGATAATCCATAGGATTAATTTGTAGGTTGTCAATTTCCTCGTCTTTATTGATTTCTGTTTCGGATGAATCGTCGATTGGTGCAACATTCAGACAAGATTGTCCGTGAAAATTTCCGCAGACTGATGAACAGTGGAGTCCTAACTTTCGACAGCCACACAAAATGGTCCGCAACCTTTTGAACAATTGCAAATCATATTCAAAGGACAATCCAAAGCAGGAAATTGCGATGTTCTTTTTAGCTCCAATAAATTATTCTTTAATATCCATCCTCGAACTTCGAGATTCAGTTCATTACCTAACCACTTCTGCACTTGATAATAAACTCGAACTTCCTGCTTCGGATTGATCCTTCGAACATGATTTTTTGCATTTGTTCAAAAGGTTGCGGACCATTTTGTGTGGCTGTCGGAAGTTAGGAGTTAGGACTCCACTGTTCATCAGTCTGCGGAAATTTTCACGAATAATCTTGTCTGAATGTTACACCAATCAACGATTCATCCGAAACAGAAGTCAATAATAGCACAGAATCCGGCCGCGTGATTTATACGTTTATCTGTTATTTTATCTGTGGGGTAGGATCTCAGGTGAAGGTGCGTCGGTTCCCACAATAACCAGTCGTTCAATTAGGTAGAATCTCGCTAGGTTTATTCATGCTCTATGTACAAGTAAATTATTTCTTGGATGTGTACGGATAGGTGGACGTGTGTGATTTATGTAGAAGATTAATGTGTAGTGTTAACGCGGTGTGTTGCGTATTATCCGTCCCGATAGTTAGATTCGCGGAGGCCGAGCTTGGAGAGGAGTCTTGAAGTTCTTGTAGACGAGCCCAGTATGTGCGTCACCACAGAGTGCTCCGGTTGGAGCTGAATGCGTGGTTCTCGGATTGGCCGGTCGGTGAATCTCGAAGACGAGGCCAGTGAGTGCGTTACCACAGAGTGCTCCGGTTGGAGCTAAATGCGTGGTACTCGGGTTGGCCGGTCGATGAGGTGTGGCTTTTGTTGGAGACACAATGATATTGGTGCGCGTTCATATAATTGCCGTGCTTATGCGACTGGAGGCGACATCTCGCACTTGCGAAATGTAATCGCGAAAGAAGTAGTGCCGGCGTAATGTGCGCGTAGGATCTGCGCTTGGACGCCAACGTGTGAAGACGGACAGTTCGATACTGATATACCACGGGAATGCACGTGCTATCGGCTGTATCAATAAAACCTATATCGTTCATTTAAGCACGCGTACTAATCTCTTTATTTTCCTGCGCATTACCTTTGGGGTCGGACTAGAGTGCCAGACTAGAGTGCCAGAGTACAGTGCCAGACTAGAGTCAAGCTCAACAGTCTTCTTTCCCCGCTAATTTTTCCAAGCCCGTTCCCTTAGCAGTGGTTTCGCTAGATAGTAGATAGGGACAGTGGGAATCTCGTTAATCCATTCATGCGCGTCACTAATTAGATGACGAGGCATTTGGCTATTTACATCACGCCCTCTGGCGCGTCTTACCGCTTCGAGTCAGTGCGGTTCCTGTTAACAACGGGTCCCGGCTGAGCGATCCTGCAGGTTAACTATTGGATCGCTCATCTGCGCAACGGGTTACCCAAACAACAAGGATATATGAGATCCAGCATAGTTTTAGTGAAGAGATCTCAGGTAGGGGCGAAAGACTGTATGATCATTGGAGCAAGGCCTACAGAGAAAGCCCATATTTCCACTTATCCAGCTAACCACAGCCCCTGAGAGTCCAACACCTATTCAGCAGGGCACCGGAAGTCCGGTGGGGCAACCCCGCCACCCTCAGTACTCGTGTCGAGCCTCAGCTCACGTTGACGAGTCGCCGCCGTGAGTGTCGCCACTCACTGCCATGTATCGCATCCGCTGATCGTTTGATAGGTATTTGGTACATGGTGGCCCAAGATACCTATTCGTTACCCTGACGGGAATGTACCCGATGGCACTGATCACGTTGATCAGCCGAGTGCCCAGGGCGTGCACCCGTATCGCCTGAACCCCGTCCGCTACCCGGCAGGCCGGGTACCCGGCGAGCACCAACTTGGAGGTGGGGCAGACTTGAGGCTGTAAGATCTTACGACTCCTTGTGAGCGAGCAACTACAACTCCGCAGGGCAGGAAGCGACTGAGGGTGGCAGCCTCCCCCGCCCTTAAGAGAGTCATAGTTACTCCCGCCGTTTACCCGCGCTTGCTTGAATTTCTTCACGTTGACATTCAGAGCACTGGGCAGAAATCACATTGCGTCAACACCCGCGAGGGCCATCGCAATGCTTTGTTTTAATTAGACAGTCGGATTCCTCTAGTCCGTGCCAGTTTTGAGCTGAGCGTTGAATGGCGGCCGAAGAGGACGACCACGACGACTCGCGCCGCCACGGAAGCCTCGCAGCAAGGAAGATCCGCGGGAGGCCAAGGCACGGGACCGAGCTCGGATCCCCGGGACCGGCGCGAGAACGCCGATCGGTTCACCTCGCCCAGGCCCGGCACGTCAGCCAAACCCGCTTCCCGACCAAGCCCGACACGCCCCGCTCCTCAGAGCCAATCCTTATTCCGAAGTTACGGATCCAATTTGCCGACTTTCCTTACCTACATTAGTCTATCGACTAGAGGCTCTTTACCTTGGAGACCTGCTGCGGATATGGGTACGAACCGGCGCGACACCTCCACGTGGCCCTCTCCTGGATTTTCAAGGTCCGAGGGGAAGATCCGGACACCGACGCAACTGCGGTGCTCTTCGCGTTCCAAAGGTAATGCCCCCGCTGGGTTGCCCCTTATATAGAGGTCGATGTAGAATCTTCCTTACGAGAGGATCGGCCGGCGATGCACCGCGTAGCGGGCGCGCGTTGAACTGCCCGGCCGATCGATACCGTGCCGCCGCGGCGCCGCTTGCGCCGCGCGCCACCCGTCATACTGCCGGCGTCGCGCGTGCACCGTCGCGTGTTCGTGGCGGACAGCTGACCGCCACATTATCGAAATGCGATTTTAATGAAAGATTATACATATCAGGTCATACATCGCGGCTGGTGTGCCTAGCAAAATCTTGCAGCAACCCTAGCGTTAATATTTCTACAAAATTAAAAAAAAAATAAGTGCACTACAAAAAACTATAAAATATAATTACCAGAATCTATTAAATTTTACATGAATTTAAGAATTACTACAAAATCCTACATGAAAATGCTAGAATTGGAACACTTTTGTAAATTTTTGTATTTTTTTAGTGCATCTTGATCTATAAAGCCTGATCTACAATGTGCTCTTTGCTTCCTGTTTTTTGCTCTTAACCTGTTTGCGACTATCCCGTATTTCGCAATTGCGTCGCGTACGCGATGTTTTTTGTTCTCTGTCGCCCAAGATAAAAATTGACGAACTTCAGAAGAGACAAGAAACATCACGTTACGCGACGGAATTGCGAAATACGAGATAGTCGCAAAGAGGTTAAAAGCAAAAAACAGAAAGCAAAGAG